CTTTACTTGAAAGAATCAAATACAGAGTAGTAAGTGATTCCGCTCAGGCAATCAATAGCACTTTCGGTAAGATACGGTTATCCCTAAAATAACCCTGGTCTGCTCACTTGTAGAAATGATAAGAAGTCGAAAAGACAAAGCCCTATTCCACTGTAAATACTCTGTCAGGGACCAAACCCCCCAAGTTGTTTGTAGGTCGAGCGCACGTCGTTACCGGCATTATGACAGTTATCTGGGACGAAACGGTTCTTAGTCCGAACGCTGTTCTGACTTAGGTTAAATAATTTTCTTCCTTAGTCAATTAAATTGTAAGCTAGAGCTATTTTGCGGCTAGACGCTAGAACGACTTGAAGGGTTATTGAGAAGCATCTGCCTTAAAGATCTTCTCTCCTGAAATGGTAAAAGACCACGCTGGGTTATCGGAAATGAATAAAATTCGAAAATCAATTAATTGATTTCCAGAAATGGTGTAATATCATTTACTAAGTCTCAGCTTTGATTGATATAACTACCAGGAATTGCTGTCCAATTCTTATGACCGAAAATTCCTTAATGAGAGTTCAAGTTTGGGTGAATGGTAAAGTTGAAGTGGAAGTTCAAATCTAATATCACATTATGGCTGTTCTTCTAATCTTCTTTACACAAACGAACCTTGATTGAAGTGGCTAAATTTGAAACAAATAAATCTCCCGGATCATAGCCAATGCTAGGTCTGTTTATTTTTTTTCGAAATAAAGACCTATATATGATTAATAAAACCATTTGATATAAATAAATAAATATTGTGGGTTGTTAATCATATCAACGTAAATTAGAAAACACATTTTTTGTGAAAATCTATCACACCCACAGCCTAAATTCAATAAAAATCTGTTTTCGGGACCTTGGATGGATTTTACGAAGGATAAAATTTAGAACATTTTAATCAGGAATAAAATAATTGCTCAATAGGCTCACCCGATATATGGATAATTCTACGGCTCAATGGTTGCATTGAGATTTCGTACATAATTTAATGCACGAATTACCAAAACAGAGCAAGTAATTTAAATAACAGTGGGAGAATCGTAGATAATTGAATTAACTAGACGGAATAGACAATTGAATATAAAACCAAATGGCAAGGATGCGTGTTTTATCATCTAAGTAAAGATTTGAACATTGGTTATAGTTCAATTAAGTCCTGGGAGTAAAATTAGTTTTGTTTCCTAGTCAAGACACAAATTATGATAAGATGCGATATTTCAATTTAATAAACTTTTAAAAGCATTATGATTAAGCGATTTTCATTGGCATATCCAGTATACCAATCAATCAAAATAAATCGGAAATCAGAATGACAGCTGATGGACTTAATCTATGGCGCCATATTTAAAACTTAAATAAGGACTGAAAGGATTACCGCCGTTTTGGAACATCAAACGTTGTCAAGTTTTGAAATATTGCCTAATTGGGTCCCACGATTGTAAAGCTCAGCTTCTCAGAGTGCTGGGGTTCCAAACTCTTAAAACTTATTCACTAAATGCACCCGATTCATTTCAGTGAATTGAACACAAAATTTCTTCTCAGTCGAATAAAAAATAAACGAGTAGAGAGAGAGAGATATGTGGAATTCGTTCAGCTTTCTGCAAATCCTTTATTTGACTGAAGAGCAAGACATTCAGAAACAATTTCAAAGTTGAGTGCAGTAAAATGCACTTGAAAGCAACTTTAGAGTATGCCGTATTGTCATGTTTTTGGGAAAAAATTATTTTTTTGCCAATATGACAGTTTAAATGAAGTTATGATAAATTAACTTTTTACTCTACTATACTTGTGAAAATGCAGCCTTTTCAGTGCATGGCCGTAGATTGTACCCAATGATCACCTTTAAATCGATTATCGATTTTTCCCTCCCCAGAACCTACCAATAATGAAGCAAAGCATTAATTTTTTTGTATTTCTCCTCAATGTTTTCACTTCTTTAGAACCCGATTGTAGACATCGGAGAGTTAAGATGAACGAACTTGGGAAATAGAGAAATGTTGGAATCCGGTCAACGGAGACAGTTGATTTACTCAAGGGCTGTGTGCTAGTTCGACTTTGAGGAGAGGGGGTAAAGAGTTTACTATCAAGGGGCTGGAAATCAGTGGATATGTCGTTGGGCAATCATTTAACTCTCCACTGGCCGATGAATTAATGCCTTTAAGACTATTTTGATTTAGAGTGTTCCGAAATTACCTTAGGAACCCGATAAATCAACCAAAATGACTAATGTAAATTTAATCGGGAAAGCCTGAAATTCTTTGGTTGCGTGTTTAAAGGATTTAGGTTTAAGCAATGATCTCGCACACACACTAACACATAGAGTCATTCTTTGCATTCCTGCACTTAAAAGTACATTTTCTTCCCATGCTTAAAACTATCTATAACCATGCCTGCTGAATTGGCATCTCCTAGATCTCACGTTGTCTTTCACCCTTCTTCTTACTCACCAAAGCTCTCCATCTCAAGGTTTCTCACCACCTATCTTGTGCATGAATGTGGTCGGTGGTTGCATGAATATTTATTTACTTCAAATGGCAGGTGTTTTGATAATTATCATTAGCCATTTAGCTGACTTCGGGGCTTTACAGAGAGGAGAAGAAACATCAAAGTGACAGAAAGTCGAGAAGGGGGGGGGACAGAATAATGATTCACAGATGTAACAGAGACAGACATAGGGGCAGAGAAAAGGTAAGATGAGTACTGTGGAAGGGGTCGAATATGGCATACAGTGGAGTCATAGTATTTTGAAGTCAGAAGTCAACTTCCAGTTAATAGACTTTTTTGCCGAATGAGCATACGTTGCCCAGGATGTACCACGTGGAAGTAAGTCTATCCCACACCCCTGGTTGCAAGAATATAACCACACGGTTATAAACAAGATATCATAGATTCCATCCTATTAAAGACAAGGAGGCAGAAAGCCTGACTCTGGAAATCTGCTGACCACAGTCAAATTCAATAGAACAACAAAAGTTTGTTCGCCAATACAAGGCGACTGATTCTTAAAATAACNGACAATAGTTTTTATTGAGTGAAATGAAGATAGAATCATCACAATGACACACTTCTCGTCTTTTGGCCAAGAAGTAAACTTTATTTCTTTATTTCAAATGGCAGGCGTTTTGAAAGTTATCATTAGCCATATAGCTGACTTCAGGCTTCACAGAGGAGAAGGAACATCAAAGTGACAAAAAGTCGAGAGGGGGGACAGAATAATGATTCACAGATGTGACAGAGACAGACAAAAGAGCAGAGAAAAGGTAAGATGAGTACTGTAAATGGGTTGAATATGGCATAGTGGGGGTAGTTTGAAGTGAGAAGTCAACTGCCGGTTAATAGACTTTTTTGCCGTATGAGTATACGTTGCCCAGGGTGCACCACGTGGAGGTAAGTCTATCGCACACCCCGCCAAAAAGTAAACTAATCAGAAGTCTCAGTTTATACTAGACATAACTCACCAATGCAACTGAGATTCAATGAATAGAGCTCAATCATGAGAAGATTTCAAAGTGAGCTCTTCCCTCCCCCCCACCCACCATGGGCTTAAGAACAACAAAATATTTCCGAATTCTACCCACTAACTCCAACTTCTATGAGAACTTGTTTGTTGTTCTTCATATTCCGATACTTTTTCCGAATTGGAAATTTTAAGGCACCTAGTTGTGTCATCAACCATAACGAAACCAATAATAATTAGCAGAAACGGACAACTGAAACAGCTGTTAATGGATGCGAAAAAGACCTCCAGTCATAACTACTGCAGAGCCCTAAGGGAGCTTCGTCTAAATTTATTCAAAGAAGAAAGGAAAGAGTTAGCGAGAACTCATTTTAACTCTTCCTAATTCCCTTGGGAATCGACTCTCAATTGGGGTGATAAATCACCAATCTCCACAACCGCCATACGACAAGGATAAAAAAGCCTTCCACCATCACTTTCCATCTCCATCTCCAACTCCTACTCCAACTCACTCACTCACTCACTCTGAAGTTGCTCTCTTCTGCAGCGCATCTCTCTCTCTCTCTCCCTCTCCCTCACCGCCTTTGTCGGCTAGTTCAGGCCAAGAAGAGGGTAGAGAGGGAGTTGCGTAGTTGCGCTATCGCTCTTCGTTGGGCTCTTTTTTTCCTCCACTCACATTCCTCCCGCGCACGTTCATTGAGTTGACAGGCGAGAGTAGGGGGGGGGGTAGGGATTAGGGCAGGCCGCGAAGCTTTTCTCCCACTCCCCCCCCCCTCACCCCTCCTAGAAAAAAAAAGATTGAACTGCAGCGATTGCCTACGTCTCCCTCCCAACCCCTCCCCCCCCACCTTAATGTTTCGTAGCTCACTGGGATACCACCGTATCTCTCTCCTCGCATCGCTGTGTTTACTCCGGCTGCTCTACACGCACACACACACACATACACACTCTCTTTGCGATGAGATACACTGGGTAGATCAAATCGCCTCAAATATTAGTGTACATAAAAGGCTCTAACTTTTATTTGATTAACTAAAAGCCCAGCCGATTTAATTTGTATTGAATTTGAACGGATTTTGAGGCTTTTATGGCTCGTGGAAAAATCCTTTTAGCGCCTCATAAATACAATTGACTGGCTTTCTCTAAGGAGAAAGTTAGAATATCCATAACTACCCCCAGAATATCCATTTATGACTCCAACCTGATGAATACCGTGTAGGGTCATGTTCTCTCCTCATATATATATTTGAATAGTATAGTACTGAAGGGCTAGAACTGACCACCACGACTAGAAGACGGCTCAGAAGCACTAAACATCGTTGAAAAGTAGGGAAATATTGGCTTCTATGTTGCTTCCCTCTGTGAAACCGAAGTCAACTAATAGGCTAATGATACTTATCATAAACCCTGCCATTTGATAGGAAAAAAATAAATAATTCGCAGGTTAAGATGTTTTACAACGCGCGCGCACACACACACGCATTTCATTTCGCACTTGATGATCGATTAATAGTATTCAATAATGAGCCAATCGATTTTTGACTTGGCACATTTCTAATTGTTGATCATTCCCTGTCTTTAAACCATTTGGTCTGACGCTTGATGCATCAAATTTTGAGGCAGGTTCCGACGGAAACCAGTGGTCAACTGCATGAATGTGGAATAAAAAAGTGACATAACGCGGAACCGCATCACATTGCACTGAACCATAACGCTGATCGCTTACATCACCACCACCACCACCACCACTCACTTTAATGTATTTACATTTTAGACTGATTGATGCGTCTAAATTCGACCAATTCCGGATCATCGCTTCTTTTTCACCTCATTAAAAATAATTCACCCAAGACCCCTTGAAAAGCATTAAACACAAACAGCCGAAATTTTCCACCACTAAACTGACTTGCAAATTTCATTCAAAGGTAACCTCTCCTTCCCCCAAAATCTCGCTTATATAAATCGGAGTGAAGTGTGCTGTCAGATTTGATCTTTCCCATTTTCTCCTTGCCTTTCAGTGCCTCGCCTTGGGAAGGTTTGATTGATTTCGATTTGAAATGGGTGAAAAACCCACTGTTTAACTAGGTTGTTTTTTTTAACAACTATTTCACTTCCCACATACCCTATTGTGGAATTTGATATCTTGACACCATCAGATTTCCAAATTTATCCCCTCGTTCACATGTTGCCAGAAGTATCATCTACGCCACTTTCGAGGGAAACGAAAGTTAAGGAAAAGATTGTCTTCATTATTTGAACAATACAATTACTTAAATTAATAATTAAACTACTGGCTTTATATGCCTATAAAGTAACCCTTAAATTCAATAGGTAAAGTTCTCGTAAATACTTATAATAATTGCATCAACTTAGAATAAAGAAAATTATACTTGAATGCCTTCAAGGAATGAAATAAACGCAGGTAATTAGCGTTCATAACTGAACTCATCTCTCTATGCTTACTTGTAGACAATACTAAAACCAATCTGGAATGCCTCAATGACAAATTACTGGGTAGGAAATTAAGTTGGAAGCTCAATGAGTTTGAACTTGTCTGAATTTTAGAAATCAATAAAGTAACTTTGTTATACCCAAAGGTTCCAAAGCTCATTGTCACAATTTAAGTTCCACATACCCACCCCCTCCCCCCACCCGGGTGATTTCAGATCACCTATGCTCAAAGCCTGTTGACCAGGTACCAATTTGATTCACTCGGATCTTACTATAGCTGTGAGAGGGTGGAAAAGACAATTTGATCCCAAGAGTTCACCAAAGGGGATCCTTAATCACCTCTTAAATTCTCTAACTTTTCACATTTTTGCGATCTAAAATTCTCTTATTCCCACCCACCCACCCACGAACCCCCCCAAGCGACCATGAGGATTTGGCCTAATTGCTTTAAATGCCAGTTATAAAAAGCTAACTTTTTAACTTCACTATAAATAAATATTTTTAGTCTCAAAGGTATTATGATATTTAGAAGCAGACATGAATTTTTTTCCATGCTACGGCAAAATTTACAGCTTCACTATTAGGTTGTCTAGTAACGGCATAGATTGCTATTTAGAAGTGTTCATTTAAAACAAAAAATATTATAAATCCCGTTTTTAGATAAACAAAAGTAAGAAAATACAAGTTCTTGGAGTTTAATTGTATACTTCATTCAAATGTTTGCTTTTATTGTAATCAAGACTGTTATGTTTTGTTCTAATTTGAATTAATAAATTACTCTTTAATTATAATCGAATTATTCATTTTTTAAGTGAAAACGAGTTTCATTGGCACAGGAGGAAATGAGCGTTAGAGCGCTTCCGATGCCGATTAAACTATTCACCTGAAAATTTTATTAAATTTTTAAAAAAAACGTAATTTGTTTAACTTAAATAAGGATTATTAAACGATTGAAAATACATAATTTACATTTTACGAAACTACCTATTTGAGTTTTAAGAGTGGAGTAGCAAATTTCTGGCCATATCTATGGGAGATCAGCGATTGGTTCTTGAATATATCCTCCCCCCTACTTAATTGGTTCGCACTATTTCAAAGTTCGTACTTTAAATTTTATCTAAATTCTTATCGAAAGTGAACACTCCAACACCGTTCATTTGTAGGAAACCAAATTACAGCTGATTTTAAAAATAAAATTTTGAAAATATAAACAAAAACGATAGGGGCAATGTAACCCTCAACATTAATTTGAACTTTTCACTAAATTAGTTCATTAGTTCTGACCTAAACTTTATATGCTCCCTTAAGCGAATTGGCACTATTTAATGCGTGAACGCATTCATTGTTTCATTACTTAAACAGCTCGTGAAATTACCCTCCCAAATCTAGCAAATTAATTTTTGATTGAGGGTTGCAAGATTTTTTTGCCACCAATAGGATTTGAATTTTTGCTCTCCTAGATGTAATAAGAGTTAAACGAATTATGGGGTGTGCGATAGACTTACCTCCACGTGGTGCACCCTGGGCTACGTATACTCATACGGCAAAAAAGTCTATAAACTGGCAGTTGACTTCTGACTTCAAAATATCATGGCCCCACTGTATGCAATATTCCACAACTTCACAGTACTCATCTCACCCTTTTCTTTATCTATGTGTCTGTCTGTCTCTTCTACATCCGTGAACCACTCTTCTGTCCCCCCTCTCGAATTTCTCTCACTTTGTTGTTCCTCCCTCTGCGAATCCCGAAGTCAGCTAAATGGCTAATGATAACCATTCTAAACGAATGCCA